GGAAAGAGCATCTTCTTGCAGGTAGTGTCTGTAGGAACTTTCACTTGTTTCAGTTCTCCAACTGTGCATTTTACTAATTTTTCAATGGTATTCTTTACTTTCTCTTTATTTTTCTGATATTATTGCTATTATTTATGCAGCCCCTTATTCACACCTCAACTCTCTGAACTTAAAATATTTCTCTTTTTTTAATGATTTTCTGTATAGTCAACAAAAAAATAATTTCACATATTAGCCATATATGTAAATGTATGATTCGTTCTGCAAGTATTGTAGATTACCGTTTCTTGGTCAAAAGGTAAACACATCACCATCAGTATTCTAGAGTAGAAATTGGTTTTAGAATTCATTCATCATAATTCTAAGTCCTCAAAGTGTTTTCCTTTATTGTAATCATTCATTCTGTTACTCCTCATTATTATGAGACAATTCTTATTCATCTTCATTATATTGAATTTATCTTCTATTTGCTGACATCTTATTCTGATGTAATATACCTTCTTGGTCCCTGAAATCTATTTTTTAATTATTATTTTGATGAAGAAGGAGGTTTTAAAAGTAAAGGAATATGGCCAACAATAGTAAGCAACAGTTAGAGATGCCTGCTCTTAATTCTACTTACACATCTTATTTCACTTTTTCAAATCTCAATTATTTATTCCTACATTTACTCTCTTTCTTTTTTGTTGAATCTTTCATTCCCAATCCTTTGTCACTAAAGTTTGTTTTTGTTATGAACAGTACTACCCATCTCTGCTCCATTTTTTGAGCCTACAATCTACCTGTCCTTTCAAGCTTGGATTTAATATATTTATATACCAAATTCATTTGTTTATTTTGAATGTTTTAATATACTGTTATGTGCTCCATTGTAATCTCCATAGGAAGGCATTGTTTATTTAATTCCTGCAATTTCTATTAGTTCTCCAAATTTTAAAAAAGTATCCAGTTATAAGAAATAAAGAGGTTCACCCCTTCTTCCACAATTCCTACCTGCTGCATCACATTATTACTTACATTACCTTCACTATCTTCAAAACAAAAATAAACACAAATATTTCCTATTTCGCACTTAGCCCCACCCTTAAACCTGAATATAAGGGAATTCTAAATGAATGCTTGAGTCTACTTCTTTTATTAGAAAATAAGTATGTAATCATCAATGAACCCTTTCCAGGAGTTCAAAACTATTTACCTTAACAGGTTTCTCTTCTCTCCTGCATTTGAATTTCACTGATTCCTCTCATTTCTATTACTTTCATCTGGAGGACTTGACAAGTCTGTACTCAGTTACATTTCTAGCATTATGTATATAATTTTACCAGTTAAATAATTCTATTTTTTCAGTCTTTCATCTTTTGATTTGAGAACTGTTTGGTTTTAAAATTACATTTTCTTTTTTTTTTCTTTTTTTTAATTTTAATTTTTTTTTTTAGTTTTCAACATTCACCTTTATAAGATTTTGAGTTCCATTTTTTCTCCCTCCCTCCCCTCCCCCTTCCCCAGGAAGGCATGCAATCTGATATAGGCTATACATATAATATTAAACTTATTTCCACATTAGTCATGTTATGAAAGAAGAATAAGATTCCATTTTCTTAATAACAGTTGCAAAATAATAGTGCGGGTTCTGGACTGTGTTTTATTGCTGCTTGAGATATTTTTTAAAAGGTGATTGAGTCTTTCTGTCTGCTCTCTTTCTCATTATTTAAGATAATTTTATTTGTAATTTTTTAAAATTTGATTTCTTTTTTTATTAGTCTATTTGTATGCTCACTCATGGTTTGCAATAAAGACTTGTGTTTTCTGCTAAAATTTATTTCATTCTCTTTTCATTTTGACATCACTAGTCTTTCTAAAAATGGTTTACCTTTTTTGTTTTTCAAAAAAATATTGAATTTTATGTATTTATGACCAAACAGTAATGCCAAAAGGTCACCTGCCCAAAAAGAATTCATAGAAGAACTTAAAAAAGGTTTTAAAAATCAAATCAGAGAAATTGAGAAAAAACTTAAAAAAATGAAAATAATCCAAGAAAAACAAGAAATTATGAAAAGAAATTCAACCAATTAGAAAAGGAGATCCAGATCTTAAGCAAGAAAATGACTCTTTGAAAATCAGAAATGGGCAAAGGGAAGCCAGTGAAATTATAAGAGATAAGAGATTATGAGAAATGAGAAATTATAAGAAATAATAAAACAATATAAATAATAAAAAAATGGAACAGAATGTGAAACATCTCATAAGGAAAAAAAACGATCTGAAGGATAGATCAAGAAAAGGAAACATAAGAAGAATTGTACTACCCAAAAAATATGATCAACAAAAGAATTTTGATGTAATAATACAAGAAATAACTAAAGAAAATTATCCTGAAGAGTTAGAGCAAGAGGGAAATGTAGAAATAGAAAAAAAAA